TGCACACACACAGCTCACACGGGGTATATATATGCATGCAGACAGCTCACACGGTATATATATGCACACACACAGCTCACACGGGGTATACATATGCATGCACATACAGCTCACACGGTGTACGCATGCACACGTCTCACAAGGGTTTACGTGTGCACACACACAGCTCACACACGGTGTATGTGTGCACATACACACAGCTCACACAGGACATACATACGCACGCATGTACACAGAGCCCACATAGGGTATAATGTGTACATGTGCACACACACAACTCACACAGGATGTACACGTGTGCACATAGCTCACACAGGGTGTACTGTATACGTGTGCACACAGCCCACACGGGCCATGCCTCAGCCTGAACAAGGACAGGCCCCCCGAATGTTAGTCTCACAGTTGTTTTTTGTCCCCAGTAAAGCAATCAAGGCCCTCCACCTTCCACTCCGCTCTGCCCTCCTCTTGTCCATTCTCTCTCAGGCCCCCCTGCCTCCTTCCTTTCCACTTGGATCACGGCGCCAAGGAGCAGCCTTGGTTCATTCTCTGGCCCCAGCTGGCGGTGCAGCTGGGAGCACCAGAGAAGTGCGGATGCTGTGGTGTGGGCCATCCTCCCTGCGTGTCTGCTGCTCGGGTAGGGTCCTGCGAACAGTTCTTGGAAGGTGACTTCTTGTTTCTGCTCTGAGATCCGGGGTGGTGGAGCCCTGCCTCTGGACTCACCCTCTGCCCGACTCATTGCCTGCCTCTAGATGGCCAGGTCCTGGCGGACAGTAGCCAAAGACGCCTTGCTGCGGCCGCTGGCACCCTCGCTGTCGCCTGTCGGCGCCCGGTGCGCGTAGGCGGGCGGGGCGTAGGGGTCTGGGCCAGGCCGCCGGGAGGGCAGGGCTGAAGGCGGCGGCGGCGGGAGCAGCTTCTGTGCCTCCTCGTGCGCGCGGTTGCAGCGGTTGTCGCGCTCGGCCGCTTGGCGCGCGCGCCCGTGGTCACGGCGGCTTGGGCGGCCCTTCCAGAGTAGGTGTCCCAGCTCGGCCACGCTGAGCAGCGCCGAGAGCAGCCCCACGGCGAAGTAGAAGACCACGAAAACAGTCTTCTCGGTGGGCCGACTCACAAAGCAGTCCACGGTGTGCGGGCACGGCGGGCCGGCGCACGCAAAGTGCGGGGCCACGCGGAAGCCGTAGAGCAGCGTCTGGCCGGCCAGGAAGCCCAACTCGGCCAGCAAGCGCAGCGCCACGCTGAGCAGGTAGCATTGGCGTGCGCGGCGGGCGCGTAGGGCGCAGGGCGCGCATGGGTCCTCAGAGCCGCCGCGGGCGCACGGCTGCCTGGCCTCGGCGGCCCAGCCGCCCCCGTCCGCCCGGCCCGGCTCCTTGCTGGCCTGGTGCATGGAGTAGATGACGAACAGCACGGCGGGCGCTGAGAGCAGCAGGATGTGGAAGAGCCAGAAGCGGTAGTGGGAGACTGGGAAGGCGCGGTCGTAGCAGGTCTGGCGACAGCCTGGTTGTAACGTGTTGCACACGAACTCCTCCTGCTCGTCCTCGAACACCGCGCCGCCCACCGTGGCCAGCACCAGGATGCGGAAGATCAGCATGACCACCAGCCATAGGCGGCCCACGAGCGGCGACTGCAGCTGCACGGCGTCCAACAGCGAGCCCAGGAACGCCCACTCCCCCATGGCGCTGGGGACGCAGGGCCAGGAAGTCAGGGACCGGGACAGAGCAGGGACTCCCCCCTCCCACGCGCATCGGGGTGGGGTCCGTTAGACCTCTGTAACTTCGGGGTGAGTCGGGAAGTCAGATAGGCCTGGGTTCAGCAGGGTTTTTGTTGGCGCAAATGAATTAATGGTGTGGAAAGCACGGGGAGGGGAGGCCCTGAGTATAGTAGACGATTTTAAAACATGAATTCCTGTCTCCTTGGGGTCGATGGGTGCTGGCAGGGAGCCCCACCCTGGCTTTTTAGCCAGACGCCCATGGGCCTGCGTGGTTAGACCTCAGGATCCTCTAGATTCCAGTCTTAGAAAGGAACCCCAGAGATCAGCAGCCCCTGACTTATATTTGTGGAAGCAGACATCCAGGGGTACCACTATGTAGTCAAGGATGCGTTCCACGGGAAAGAGTGCTGCCTCTAACCAAGGACTCCAAACCTCACATATGGTACCGCTGGGAGATGCCAGCCAGCAGACGCAATGGGCCCCCACTTTCTTCTTTCTCCACCCACGATTTCTTTCCCCCTTTTGACTGCAGTGAACTCCTCTCAGGATTGGGGAGCTGATAAAAATGTAGCCCCCAATTCCATAAGTCTGTTAGGATCCTTTGTCCTAGGTGTCCCAGCCACCCCAGCCCAGCGTGGTGGGAATGTGGGCCCAGCCCTCTCCCATCTCCTCCCTGGAGCCCCTCCAGCCTCTCACATCCTCTTACAGTCCCTCCCACACACAGGTCCCCACAGGCCCCTGCTGTCCCCAGGCCCTCACCCAACTGCACTCACCCTGTGGTTGTGGCTGGGGTGTCAGAGTTGAGCGCTGGAACTCAACTCGGGAGATGGTTGGGACCTGATTCTCCTGGTCCCTCTTTCATTTTCCCTTTTGGATTTGGCTGGGATGGATAATAGGACAGGATAGCAGAGGGGGCTAGCTCTCCCCCTTCTCTTAAAGGGACAGGGCAACCCTGCTGGCTGGCTCCACCCTTGGGAGCAGATATAGGGCCACGCCTCTTGCTGGCCTTTGCCAGCCCTCCCTATCCATCCCCACCTCATGCCTGTCTCCATCTGGAAGTGGGGGGATGGAGTTAACCAGAGCCACACTCTTTTTTGAGAGAACTAGGAGGGGTGCATGGAAGCCCTTCTCCAACATACTCCCCAAACTGTGAAGCCTAGATCCCCTATTAACTGACTGTCCTCTCCAAAAATGGTCCTCAGGGCTGGAGGGAGGTTCGGTGCTGGTGTTGGGGGCATTGTTATTTTAAGAGGCAGCAACATCTAATGGGTTCTTGCTCCAGTTCTGCTACTAACTTAACCGTGGGCAAGTCACTTAGCTCTTCTGGATCAGAGTCTCCTCCTTTGCCAACTGAGGAGTTTGGACCAGCTGATCCTCAGGTTTCCTTCCAGCTCAAAGGCTTAATGCTAACATCCCAACCATGTTAAAAACTAAAAATCAAACCCATTGCCATTGAGTCAATTCTGACTCATTGCAAACTCATGTGTTACAGAGTAGAACTACTCCATAGATTTTTTTTTTACTGTAATCTGTGCGGAGGCAGATTGCCAGGGATTTCTTTTGAGGCGCCGCTGCTTGTGGGTTCGAACCGCCAACCTTTAGATTAGTAGTCAGGTGCAAACTGTTTGTGCCACCCAGGGGCTTTCCCACCCAACCATGGTGCAGAGAACCAAAAAACCTGTGCCCAGAAAAAATTCCATATGGAAAAACATTAAGGTATCGAGAGTGACTAGCTTTGGTGGTTAAATGAAAGCTTTTGTTTTCTTCCTGCTTTTCTGTTAATTTCCAAATGTACTATAATGAATATGTTTTATAATGTGAAAAGTAGAGAGAAAGGCTCCCCCACCCTCCGTGGTTCTGAATTGGATCACTCCCTGCTGCTCTAGGTGGTGGGCGCTGTCCCATGGAGGGGGGTTTAGGGTGACTGATGGCAATCTGAGCAGCCAGGGAGGGGAACACTCTGAGGTTGAGAAGTGTTGTTTGTCCCCTCCACCTATCTTGGAGGCTGCCCAACCCGCACACTGTTTCCCTCCCTCACCTGCGCACCTGCTCTGGGCCAGGCCCTGTGCTGAGCTGTCACATAAATTAGCTCATTTAATCCTCTCAGAGACCTTCAGCTGGGGAAACTGATGCTCAGGGTCTAAGCCACTTGTCCACTGTCGCACAGCCGGTAAATAGTGAGTCTCTGATTCCGGAGCCCATGCTGGAGGTTGGCCATTCCTGCCCCTCCCTGAGGGCAAGGACGCCAGGCATTGCTTCCTCAGTGACACTTCCTCTCAGCCAGAGGGGATGTGGAGGGTGGGGTGGAGAGGGTGGGAGTGGGGGCTGCATGGTTCTTCATCTGCTAAAGACCCCCTGACCTGCTTTCAGGAAGGGGTGGGAAATGTACCCTCTCATTCCCACTGGCTCAGCAGCCCAGCCCAGCCTGGAAAAACCCTAGGTTAACTCCTGCTTGGGTGTGCCAGGACCCCTCCCCAGCCTCGCCTCATGCAGGGTTCCCTTGGGAGTGAGGCTGGGTGGGGGGATGCTGCCCTGGACAAAGTCCAAACAAAAAGAGCATGTGCTGGGGCCCCACATTCCGAAAACAGGATGTGGGGTGGGGGCACTGCTGCCTCCCCATCCCCAACCTCCCCCAGTCATGGGGCTCTGGGACACACATCTCCCCTAACTGCCTAGGAATGGTCCCCTCCCTGTCCCTGTGGCCCCCGCTGGGTGGGCCAGGCCATCAACCCAGCCTGGAAAAAACCCATCAGGCTCCTGTCTGGCTGTGGGACTAGAAAGACGGAGGTGGTGGGCTAGGGTGGGTGAGGGGTGGAGAGCTCAAGATCACGCTTCGTTGTCCCCAGCCCCTGCTGCCACAGGGCCAGGCGCAGGAGACTGTACAATCTCTGGGGCCCATCCTTCTTCCCAGATAGCACTGTGAGGAGGGTGTCACTGACGCTGTGCAGAGCTGGCGGGCACACGGTCCCGTTCTTGGCCATGCTTGAAGCCTGGGGCTGGGCTGAGAGGCCTGGTTCACATCCAGACTCCGTCCCAGACACCTCACCCTGGTCCTTCTGCCTGCCTGCTGGGCTGCAGGGCCACTGTCACTCCCACACAGGTGCACATATGCAGGCATATACACGTTTGTACCTAGTATGTTAACACTAGTGACATAAGCAAGACACAACTGAATTTTCTCTTTCCCATGCCCCTCTAATATTTTTTAGTCTTTACAGTAATGTCTCCTTTCTGATGTTTTCCTAGCTACCCTAATTGAAATTTAATGCCCCACTTCCTAGTCCCCCTTCCAGCATCTTTCAATTAGTGGGATTGGGTTAGCTCAAGATTAGTTGACCTGTAGACCACAGCAGCTTCCTCCCTGAAAATAGTTAAGTCCTGGGTCCAAAGGACTGCCCTGGGGACAGGCCCTGGAAAGTTACTGGGGACAGAAAACAAGGTCACCTATGGATGAGGCTCCTATATGCCTGCTAAGATTCACTGGAATATGTTTGTGCTCACCAGGCTATATTGGGGTCACCTTGAGGCCAGTGAAGATCTGGTCTCATTAAAAAGAAACACAAATCTACCTCCTGAAAATACTGAGGAAAATATAAGACTGAAATGATATGATCACTTTGAAAAACTGTTTGGCAGTTTCTTATATAGCTGAACATACAGTTAATGTATGACCCCAAAATTCTACCCCTAGGTATTTACTGGAGAGAAATGGGGGGAAAAAGTCCACGTAAAAGACTTGTACTCTAATGTTCATAGCAGCTTTTTTCATAACAGGCCAAAACTGGAAACAACCCAAATGTCTGTCAACAGGTGAATGGATAAACAAATCCATACAATGGAATAATATTCAGCAATAAAAAGATCAGGAACTATTGATACATGCAACAACATGGATGAATTTCAGAAACTTTCTGCTGAATGAAAGAAGCCAGACACAAAAGGATACCTACTGTATCATACCTTCAGTATAGATTACACCTCAACATAAAGAAAAGAAAAAATCGTGACAAATGGACCAATAAGCAACATCACTGATAAACAGAGAAAAGATTGAAGTTGTCTGTCAAGGATTTCATTTTACTTGGATTTCCATGGAAACAGCAGTCAAGAAATCAAATGATGTATTGCATTGGGCAAAATCTGCTGCAAAAGACCCCTTTAAAGTGTTAAAAAGCAAAGATGTCACTTTGAGGACTAAGGTGCGCCTGACCCAAGCCATGGTATTTTCAGTTGCTTCATTTGCATGTGAAAGCTGGACAATGAATAAGGAAAACTGAAGAACTGATGCATTTGAATTGTGGTGTTGGCAAAGAATATTGAATATACCATGGACTGCCAGAAGAACGAACATACCTGTTTTGGAAGAAGTACAGCCAGAATACTCCTTAGAAGGGAGGATGGTGAGACTTGGCTTATGTACTTTGGACGTTATTAGAAGGGACCAGTCCCTGGAGAAGGACATCATGCTTGGTTAAGTAGAGGGTCAGTGAAAAAGAGGACCACCTTCAATGAGATAGATTGACACAGTGGCTGCAACAGTGGGCTCAGACATAGCAATGACTGTGCAGATCGCACAGGACCAGGCAGTGTTTCATTCTGTTGTACACAGGGTCACTCTGAGTTGGAAATGACTTGATGGCACCTAACAACGACTGTATAACTCCATTATATGAAGTTCTGGAATACTTGTATGTAAAACACTTTGAGATGAAGAAGTTAGTACCCATGCACAAAATCGCAGGAAAAACCAGATTGGCTTCAATTAGGTCATGGTGCCCTTCTCTTGGACCTATCACCAGGGCCAGGGGCTGTCAGGCCCACCAGAATACAACTGGAATAGTTCTCAAAAGGAAGAGGAGAGAGCTATATTTTAGAGTAGGGAAAGGGTGTAGTACGGGGTCGGGGTGGGGGGCGGGGAAGAAAAGGCAATCAACGGGCTGCAATGTTTACATTTTATTTAAGTACAAAATTGTTGGAATTAAGCTAAATAGAAAAACAGAGTAAATATTTACAAAAACATTGATAACACCACTGAAGTTACACACATAACAATGCAGAACGTCTTA